ATTTCCAAAAATGGTCAACTTTTACAATGCATATCTCTCTTAATTTTTACCCTAATAGGGTGTTCTTGGACTTTTTAGAAAGCTTAGGATGTCCTCTAAACAACACTTTTAGTTTCATATCAATTTGATCTTCCATGTTCATTTAAGGAGCTTTGACCTAAAGGTGTTTTTGTTGACTTTTTGACATGACCTATAATGTATGAATTTATATCTTTTCATGAGTGCATTTCTTGAACTTTAGGGCTGAAGATGAGTTGAAGGGAATTGGATTCTCTTCAAAATGAGCCTTGGATGAGGAATTTGTGAAAAATTATGAGAAAGTTATGCCTGGTCAAAGTTTGGTTGACTTTTCCTATAGAAACCCTAATTTAGCAACTTTTGAGTTTTGATTAATTAGGAGCATTCCTTGAGGAATCATGATCAACCCTTGATCAAATGATGGATATAACTTCAAAATGTTGATGTTGACCAGAAACCTTGAAGTTTGACTGTATGTGGGTCACAATTGACTTTAATATGTAGTGAAGAGAGATATTTTTCACTTGGGTGTTGAGTGAGGCATTGTTGATCTTAAAATCCAAGCCATATCCTCCACTTTGAGATGATGCAAATTCTCCTTTCTCATGATTATGGGTAGTAAGTATGTTTTTCACACGGACAATGACGATGGCGTCTTATCTCATAAAATCAACCAACACAATTGTGTTTTAAAATTTTCAAAGAAGAACTACGTGTACCCTGATCCCCTATTGCACGAAAGGTGTACGTAGGCACTAAAGGTTCGCAAATGCGGCGGGTGCAAAAATCATAAAAAATATATTTCTTTTCTCACCTCCACCATCTATTTTACATACAACATTTTATAGCCAAAATATACAGATTTTTACAAAGAGGTTCCTGCGGAGTACCGTAGATGTTTTGGGTGCTAATACCTTCCCTTTGCATAACCAACCCCCTTACCTTAAATCTTTCCCCCTCTTTTTGGGTTATTCACTCTTTTCCTATTCCTTTGGAAACAATAAAGCGCGGTGGTGATTTTTATTTTGATTTGTATGAGTCAATTCAATCCAATGGCTTAGCCTTAAACATTTCTACTGCTACAGATACCTGTCTTGAATTTGGTCTAACAGGTTGTGTACGAGTCTGTTCATTTTGAGTAGAAGGCTCTTCATTTTGTGTAGAAGGTTTTTCATTAGCATGAGAATATGTCTTTGTGTTTTACTTGACCCTGCCTTCTTGGAAGTCCCTTTTGGTCTACTCTGTTGAGACAAGTATAAATAATTAATACAAAATTTGACACATAAATAATCAACTGCAAATATACATAAAGTTGATAGAAAATTTACTAACCCTTTTACTTGGTCTTGTATTCACACTTTTAGTTTGGCTTACTTGAGTGATTTTTTGAACACTTCTTGGAAGTTCACCAGGAAGAATAGCAAGTTGTTTATTCTTCTTACATGTTCTGGTGTTGTCCCCTTACACTAAGCATGTTTTTCACTTGTGTCTTATGTTTGTTCTTTTCCATATTGTTTGTGAAGCCTCATCTGGTTACCTTATTATGAGTTTTTTAGGCTTACATGGACCCCTATTGTAAATTTGTGGCAAAATATCTGGAGCATCAGTCTTGGGCCATTTATTTTGTCCATTGATGGGTGTCACAACCTCATTATAGCATTTTAAGTATGTGTTCCTAAGATAGCACCCACTTACATACTTGACAGGATCATCAACTTTCTTATGGATGGCAGCGACGACATGTCTTCATGGGATACCCCAACCAAGTATCAAAAGTTACATGAACCTCTCTCTTTAACCAAGTCTACAACAAAACTATTTGTGAACATCACATGTGTTACCTAAAAGGTTAACTGACTTGAATATGTTGGCAACCAACTATCACTTTTTTATCACCCTCTCTAATCTCCTAAGTGGTTTTGACATTATTACACCCTTGTAATTTTCTACCTTTTCCCTAAGTGTTACAAACCTACCCATTAGGTAGTTCCTAATCCATTCCAACATGGTTATATTGGGTTTTTCTCTTTGCATGAGTATAGTAGCATTAAATGATTCACTAAGGTTATTCATTAAAACATCACACTTAGAGTAGAATGGAAATACATGCTTACACTATTTATGTTTTGGGATTGCATTTAATCAATCAAAAACATCCAAGTTGGCCTCCTTAATTTCCAACATTTTTACCTCATGTGCTTCATAGTAGGTAGCCTTGGCAGGAGCCACCATGAAATTTCTGAATAATGTCCCACCTCCAAACTTATTTTTGAAGTTAGCATATAAATGATTTAAACAGAACTTGTGCTCATATGCATGGTATTCATCTTGAAAAACTTGCACAAGCCACTGCACATAATAACAGACCAATTCCAACTAATTAATAACAGACCATATACAAATTGACAAAAAAAATAAACAATTAGTATCACCATATATATAGCTTTTGTTGATCAGACATAAAGCACCACCTAGTATCACCAATATCCTCAATGAGTAGTTTCATGCACTGGCTCCAGGATTTGTTAGATTCAGTCTCTACAACACCAAATGCAATAGGCAGATATTGATCATTGGTATCCCTCCAAACTGCAATTAGTAAAATTCCACCATATTTTTTCTTTAGGTGACAACCATCTAATCTTATGAATGGTCTACATTCCCTAGTCAATGCCTTTTTGGTCCCATCAAAGCACATGTAATATTTTTCAAATCTTGGTTGCAATTGAGGTCCGAGTCTGCGAATGTTTAACTTGAATGTGTTACCTATAGATACCCTTCTTAACTCAACACCATATGAACATAACATACTATATTGCTTGCTTGAATCTCTTTCAACTACTTATCATGCCAACTTTCTAGCTTCGAAAGGTCTGCTACCAGTGATCTCAGTAGAAAACCTCATTCTTACATCTACTACAACTTCATTCAACCTTATCTTAGAATTGTTACTCAACTTATCAATTATCATCTTAGCAGCCCACTCAGCCTTAGCATTCTTATTTAAGAATTTTCTACCATACTTGTGTTTGAAAAACAAAGTTTTATCTTGAACATTATAGTTCTTATAACTCTACTGCATAGTATAGTATAGTCACACAACATCTCCTACTTACACAAAACCCTACACCTATTGGCATCACTTTTGGAAAATGTTACCTCCCTACCATTCAAAACATTGTGTTCCATAACAACCTTTTTGAATTTCTTCAAAGATGAAAATTTCATACCTACCTTGAATTTGAAATCTTTTTTAAGGGTATCATCTCCATTAAACCTAATCACTGCAGGCGTGTCATCAAAGCTATCATCATCAGCCCCACTATTAAGCTTATTTGTCATGTAATATCCTTCTATAACACGTTTCCTTTCCATTTCATTTGTCATAAAGCCATTGTTGTTTGCTCACTTTTATCAGTACCATTAACATTTTCATTTCTAAACACACCTTCAATGTTACCTCCTTCTTGAAGGTTTTCATCAGAATCCTACATTTTATCTTCTTCACTATCTTCAAAGTGAATATCATCCACATAATTTTCATTTGGTTCATACTCATCACCATTATCTTCCTCACCACTTTCATGTCCTTTTTGTCACTCTATAAGCCTCTCCATGTAGGTCAACTCACCTGTAATAAGTTTGGCTTCAATGTAAATTTCCACTTCAGAACTATTGTTTACAGCAAACCAAGTTAACAAAGAAGCATCCTCATTATTTCTAAAAAGTTTAAGATCTTTTTCCAAAGAACCCTTTTCATACTTCCACCATATTTTCACTCCATCTACATTAAATGCAGAGTTCATCCATTTGATAAGGCCGCGAGCTTCAAAGAAGGACCAGAAGTCTGTGTCTTGTCCACTAAATCCAAAGAAACACAACCTTGAATGCACTCATCATGTAAATAGGATAAATTTGACATTACAACAAAGAATTGACCACACACAAGTAGAAATCATATCATTACCAGTCAACACTACAATTCAACTAAGTGGTCCACACATAATGCAAAAAAACTATAACTTTGTCTGGAAAGTGGGTACAATAAACAATTCAAGAAAGAGTATAACTCACCTGTCTAAGTCGTGAGACAACACCTTTCGAACAATAACTACAAGCTGATTAAGAATGCAATTGGCATTTCAAATAACTGTTATGTGAAGGAAAACAATGATGAACAAGCTCCGTCTTCAACTAATCTTCAAACGAGGATGATGAACTTTTCACTCTTTAAGTGTTTCAGACAAAATGGGGTTGTGTTTGATATTTTAGGGTTTTTTTCAATTTGGAGAGAGAGATTAAAAGTTGAAATGATTTCTTATGATTTAAGTTATCAGAAACCACATCATATTTGTTATAATATATTTTAATCACAATAAAATAAAGTTAAATGAATTTAAATTACACGTACGTATACTTCCACGTCAGTGGCTGTTAGCTCAATTTAACGTCAGAGACAAATTGCATGAATGGAAATTTTCTAAGGGACAATTCTTTAAAGGAAATATTTAGAGGAACTAAAAATAAAATCTGCTCTATTTAAAAAAACCAAAAACATATTTAAATTTTTATATATAATATTATCAATTAATATCAAAATTAAGATATATTCACTTAAAAATTAATACATGATTTTTAAGAGAATTTAATTTATCTTTTAGATTAATAATAATAAAGGGGTGGAATTTAGTGTCAAAATTAATATTTGACACCGATGTCAAATGATTCATTTCCTTATATATAACTTTTAATCACATTTTTTAAATAGTATTATTTTGATTTAAAAATAATTAATAGTGTTAAAATAAATGTTGTTTGAGTACTATGCATACCATGATATCATCATTTGTCACATTATTCGCAATTTGTTTCGTAATCAAATTGTGTCATTTGAAATTCATTATTTACGGACACATTAGGAGCATGACATAACAATATATCTATCTCAATTTCATCAACATTGCATTTTTAAAACATTAGCAATGATGACGCTAACAATGTCTCTAATTGTGGCTGTCACACTAATCCTCACTTCATTCATATATGCTTTTTACCAAACACTATGCCTCAAAAATCCTGCCTTCACAAATTGGCCTTTTATTGGCATGTTACCACAATTTATTTGGAACATGTCACATATTCATGAGTATTCAACACAAATGTTGAAATCAAAAGGTGGCACAGTTGAATTTATAGGACCTTGGTTTACCAACATGAAGGGAATAATCACAACTGATCCAATGAATGTTCACCACATCATGAGCAAGAGATTCGACAACTTCGTAAAAGGTAATTTGTTTCGTGAAATGTTTCAACCTTTTGGTGAAGGAATTTTCACTACCGATTCACATAAATGGAAATATAATAGGAACCTTGTCCAACATCTATTTAAACAAAAAAGCTTTGAAACTTTTCAAGAGAAAATCATTCACAACAAAGTTGAAAAATCATTGATTCCTTTATTGAATCATGTTCAACAACAAAATGAGTCATTAGTCGATTTACAAGATGTCTTCAATCGTTTCACCTTTGACAATATATGTTTAATAGTTCTCGGACATGATCCGAATTGTCTTTCATGTGATTTTCCCGAAGTTGCTTACGAGAAGGCTTTTAACCAAGCAGAAGAATCCATCTTCTATAGACACACTATGCCCAGTTATATTTGGAAGTTGAAAAGATGGCTTCAAATAGGTGAAGAGAAAAAAATGATCGAAGCATGTAAAATATTCGATAAATTTCTATTTTCATGTATAGCATCAAAGCGCGAAGAGGTTAGAAAAAATTTTAACACGAAAGAAATCAATATTGAAACCGATGAAGCTCATCATATTGATTTTCTAACAATGATGATCAGAGAAGAAGAAGAAACAAAGTGTAGTGAAAGTGAATTGCGTGGTGACAAGTTTCTAAGAGACGTTGTATTCAATCTCTTTGTAGCGGGAAGAGATACTATAACTTCGGCGCTTACATGGTTCTTTTATCTAGTTGCTACACACCCTTTAGTGGAAGCAAAGATTCTTGAAGAGATAAAAGAAAATTTTGGACATAAAGAGAAGCCTTGGGTGTTAAGTGTTGATGAGGTGAAAAAACTTGTTTATCTTCATGGAGCTATATGTGAGGCATTGAGGCTTTTTCCGCCGGTACCTTTTGAGAGAAAGGAAACAATAAATTCTGATATACTTCCTAGTGGTCATCATGTTTATCCAAAAACAATCATATTGTTTTCTGTGTATGCAATGGGAAGGTTTGAAGATATTTGGGGAGAAGATTGCTTGGAGTTCAAGCCAGAAAGGTGGATTTCTGAGAGAGGAGGTATTGTTTATGAGCCATCTTATAAGTTCTTTAGTTTTAATGCTGGACCTAGGACTTGTTTGGGAAAAGATTTGGCTTTCATTCAAATTAAGATGGTGGCTGCTTCTATTTTGTGGAACTATTGTGTCCATGTTGTGGAAGGTAGTTGTGTCACCCCTAATCTTTCAATTGTACTTCTCATGAAACATGGTCTTAAGGTTAAAATAAGCAAAAGGGGAATTTAATTTTATGAAATTATATCTTGAAATTTTAAGTATTTCTGATGTAATGGAAAATATGTGAAAACTATGGTGTATTGTATGTTTCAATCAAATAACTAAATAATTGTACCATGAATAAAAAGTAGTACAATAAAATGTGTTAATTTAAAATTGTAAATATGTTTATTCAAATAAAGTGTACTAAGCTAACTCATATGCATACCACCACTGCAACTTCCGTCGTTTCAGTTGAGAAATATCAAACTCAATTTTCGTCGCTTTGATGGCACCGATGTTCTCAATGGGAATTTCAAAGCTGGACAATTTTATAATTATTATGCTCCTCTGGATGACCAACGCCTCAAAATTTCTTCCATAAACACCGAGAAAACCATCGTGGTTTCACATGATTGCACGTACGGCACTGTTTCAGTCATGGGTGGCATTCACACGGTTGAACTGGAATTTGGGCGCTCATCTTATGATTCCTCCAGATCTAGAGGTTTAAAAAACCACAGACTTATAATTGTCACTTCCATTTTTGGCACATTTACGTTAATGTTGTAACACTCGACTTTTCTAATTATACAATTATAATAAAACATACGAAATATATCAGAGTACATTAGTAAAATATCACATATTTCAATAAATATACGGTAAAGAGTAGTAATTCACATGTCATTCACTACTTTACATCACCAAACATCATCTGCGTAACACATGATCAAATCATCAACAATCAAATGCAATGAGACCAACACCGACTCAATGCATGTGGTACCAACAGAATATAAACCCCCAACATAATATCAAATAGGACAGCAACATGGCATGAGCCCTCAACATAACGCCATTATAGGCCAACAACAGGGCATAAGTCCACCCTAATGCATACATGCAACACCAAAATACAACAACATAATTATGAAACCACAAGGCACGAGCCTACAATATTCTCCAATAAGGCCACCAACGTCATTATCATTACGCGATATAATTGAGCAATTCATACAAAGTTCCATAGTTTACCTCAATTTCCCTTATTACTAGCCTTCCTATATCTGTCTAAGTCATACTAATCATTACAGACCAAAAGAAACTACACTGCACGCGAAAACAAGAAAGAAATCGCAAAAACATAATTTTCTGCACATTAGTTTTCTCATACGCGTATGGCCCTGCCACATACGCGAATAGCCTCTTCCTCGTCCATCTCATACGCATATCATATGTGTTGGGCCGAACTTCTAGGCCTCATACGCGTACCACCAGAGGCGATTTCCCCCAAAACTTCTCTAAAGTCCCCATACGCGTAATGGTTAGTCCATACGCGTATGGCCTTCCCTCCACACGTGTACCACACGCGTAACGGTAGATGGCTGTGCTGGCTTAGGGACAGAGCGCGTATCATATGCGTAAGGCACCTACGGCGTGTCTCCCATACGCGTATGACCATTATGCTATATCCAAAAATCTATTTTTGCACCAGGACAATTTCTGCTCGTTTTGCACACTTTCAACTTCCTAAATTGGACCAAAAACAATATTTTTACAAATAATAACCTATAGGATTCATCTAATTTCGTTAATCTATCATCCTATAATAGTTTTCTACATCCAAATCCTTATTATTCATCATCTTCCTAAATCCACATTTTCCGGATTGAGATTTCATGGAATAATACCACAACAACAATAAGCGTCAACAATAATCACACCATTGGCATCAATTTAATCATAACTTCACATGGATTTACATAGAGATAACATCAATTACACAAACGAAGAGCATAAATCAATTATACATAATATCTAAAGAGAGAAAGGAAACCGCACTACACTATCATGTTATAATCACCCTTTATAGAACCCATCCCCCCCCCCCCCCCCCCCCCCCTTTATCTTAGTTTGGAACTTTGATCCATCGACAATGGTGGGATTCTCCCTTGCCCTAGTTCTTCCTTCTTTCTCCTCTTTATTTCTACGTGACAGTAGTTTCTCCCAAATCACTTCTATCACTTTTCTAATAATGTTTTATTCTTAATACTAATAATAATAATAATATTAATGAGAATAACTATAATAATAATAATAATAATAATAATAATAATAATAATAATAATAATAATAATAATAATAATAATAATAATAATAATAATAATAATAATAATAATAATAATAATAGTGGTAACTATACCTTATATCTAATAATATTTTTATTAATAATAATAGTATTTTTCATCTTTCATCAATATTATTATTATTACACCATATGCTAAATTGTATTCTAATTAACTAATTAGAACTAAGTCCTCACATACCTATAGCCAATGCCCACATAATCTTAGTTATGCCAAAATGATTCAAAATTAACCAACAATGACTAAATAATTAAAAGGAGCATTGCAAATTTCCGTATTATATATTCAAAATTTTAAAATTCACGGCTCCATATCATAAATTTCATTATAATACCAAAAATTTCACTCACTCTATCAAATTTACCGTGGCTTGTGTGGGATACCGGTAGTACTAAATGTTGTTTTTTTTTGCATTTCTTATAATTTTTTCTTGGATAATTTAAAAGGTAAAATAGCTAACTGACTTAATATATAAATAGAATAAATGACATACATATATCAAGTCAGTTAAATTCCATACATTTTATCATTTTAAAATTGCTTTCTTTGTTTGCTTTGACTGCTTTATCTTTGAGGGTTTATTGGGGTATTCTTGTAAAGATCCTATATACCCGGATCTGAGGCACACTTTTAGGTAAACAACAATAGATCATGGATACTTTACGGAATAAACCGATATGGTTGAAGAGATGGCTGTGTTGGTGTGACACTTTGGTTGGTACCGATATCCCTTGTGTTGAATTGAGGAGAATACGGGGCCACCGCATGGTGTCGTGAAGTACTAACGAACCTTAGAGCCTTAGTTGAACAAATTTGACCATTAGAAAGTAGTGAGATAGACGACCTCGGTGTAAAGCTGGGGATTGGTTGATACTCGATGCTACACTCATTGAGATTGGACTTTCGAGATGTTTCGGCCGCAAGAAAAGATTGCTAAGCTGAAATAGTGCTTGATAAAGGAAGATCAGTGATATTGAGACTCCTTAGAACCCGGTTACTATTTCTAGGACAGGTTTGAAACCAATTAAACTTCAAGAGGGTACTTACCTATAAACCCCATGCAAGCCTAAACTTAAGGCTTCTTGTGTGATGTGTTTGCTTTCAACTTGAGCTACTTGTTGGGTTTTTATCTAACAACATGATCTCCTTACAGGATTTGTTTACAATCATTATCCAGTAACTTGGACTTCTTAGACTCACTTGTCTTCATCACCTTACACTTTTGCTTAACGCATAGCATACACATCATAACATCATGCCACCACATTTCCTTAACCAGTTTAAGGATCTCAAGGATTGTGATGCAGGTTATAATAAATCATACGTCTAGCAAGGGGAAAGGGGGTTTATTTTCCTCTAGCCAATGCCATCAAAAGATCAAAACTCAACAACTTGAGTCAGGGGCTATGACCCACTTGATATGGTGAGCTTTACTCTCATAGAAGGATACTCAATGACACAAAGTTCTTCAATCAAAGTTGCAAATTTCAACTTCTGACATTTTCTTGTTTACCCCGCGAGTCCTTGAAAACATTGCATACGCATATCATATATGTCATTGCATAAACAAGTTTCAAAGAAGGGTTCTCATCTTCTTCGTTGTTTATTTCAGCAAGTAAAGAAATGGCTCTTGAACAAACAATCAAAGACCTTCAAGCTTAAAACGCTTACAAATGTTCCTGACTCTGACCCAGGGGTAAGAAGACCTGAAAGCTCTGATCATCAAAAAGAAGACTAAGAAGGCAAAGAAACAATTTTGTGTTTTGAGTGTGGGAAGAAGAGGACCAGCTAACCGCGCTCTAGATTTCACAACCCCGTCAAAGAGAGGGGATAATCAAGAGGAAGATGACGAGGAATCAGAGGAAGGGGACAATAATCCAGCGTCTGAAGAAGATGAACATGACTATTCTGAGGAGCAATACCCCCCTGCCGATGTTAAATACAAACGGCTGGAGGATCGACTCAATGCCATGGAGATCCAAAGGGTGTCCGATCTGGATTTTGAAGAATTAGGTTTGATTCTAGGGGTGGTCATCCCACCTAAGTTCAAGGTCCTTATCTTTGCAAAATATGACGGTGTTTCCTGTCCCAAGCTTCACTTGAGGTCATATGTCAGAAAGATCCAGCCTCACACTGCTGACCAGAAGTTATGGGTCCATTTCTTCCAAGAATGTTTGGCTAGCACTCAACTGGATTTGTTCTATCAACTAGAAGGAACTGACATCCATACCTGGGAAGACTTCGCTGCTGCTTTCTACAAGCAGTACCAATACAATTTTGACCTCTCTCCAACCGTACACAACTTCAAAGCATGTTTATGGGTTCTAGCGAAGGCTTCAAAGAATATGCCAAAAAATGGAGGGATCTAGCTGGAAGGGTACAACCTCCTCTAAATGATCGAGAAATGGTAGATATGTTCATGGGCAGTCTGACATGGCCGTTCTTTAATCTGTTGATTGGGAGTTCCTCATCTAGATTCACAGAGATGGTTCTGAGTGGAGAAAGGATTGAAAGTGGTATCAAGAGTGGGAAGATCCTGATGGCTGCATCTTCTAATGTTGAGAAGAAGCCATTTGCTGGTAAGAGGGAACCAATGTTGTGTATGGACAAAAGGGTCGAAGTAAGCAAGATGGCCACAATCAATTTGTGGGGGCAATACTGGTCTCTAATCCTACGCCTATGCAACGACACTAACAGGGGAATCAGCGTAAAGAGGTCACACCTAAGAGACAGTTCAACAGAATCAACATGTCACTAGCTCAAGCGTTACAACACCTGTTGAAGACAGGGTTGGTTACGTTAAAGGCTCCCATGCGGAATCCCAATACTTCTGCTCCTAGTTACCACCCAGACCAAAGGTGTGCATACCATTCTGATAGT